CTACTATGATCATGATATATCGTAATTGCGGCAAGTCGTAAGAACACATTCGCGAAAAGCACTTAATTTCCGTCAAATTCATGAGTATTGTGACACTAGTAATGGCCTGGATGATTGTGGTACTTGAACGAATGCCGCTACATGGGATGACATGAAACAGTAGTTGAAGCCCAAGGGGGTTATAGAGACAGCTTCTGTATGCATGCAAACTGAGATCACCGAGATGCAGAAAGACTCTAAGCTCCTCCTGAGAGCAGTCAAAACCACGAATACCAACATAGTTCTCTGTGCGTCAATGTCTGTCAAAGCGTGGGTCACAAACTTGTCAGGCAGCGGGGGCAAAACCCAATCTGATTTGAAAAACTTTATACTGAAACTAGCCAACTGGAACAAGGAACGCGGTTAGCTACTTGCAATCCTTGGCCAACGGTATTTGAAGAAAAGTCCTCTTTAAATAATTCTTGAAAAATACGGTTGTAAAAGCTAGGCGCACAGGGCGTTCTTCATTAGAGGGCAGTGCGAATCTACTGGTAACGGTCAGTTTATTTAGCTCCTTCACATTGTTGCTTATCTTGAACGTGCCGTCTTCTTCAGGACGCTTACGATGGGTTAAATTAAATCACTTCTTAGCATCTCCTGCAGAGCTACTGAGACAACTTAACGTTTCGTAAGCGGAACAGGCAGAGGTTGACCAACGACAACACGTTTTGTATTTTGCTTAGGCTGGATCTTGCGCACACTATGGGAAAGATGTCCAATGGATTACTGAAAAGTTTCAGATTGTGTTCACGATATCATACTACGTGTGCAGTGTCATGGATGCGGTAGCTTGATAACATTACATGTAAGGCTATAATGGCATTTCTTCCAATTAAGGGTCACTGCTTGTCTGTATAAATATACATCGCACTTTTTGCAGCTACTGAATGCAGCCTTAGCAGCACAATGTTGGACTTTACTATGTTAAAGTGTTTCCTGCCGTAATTTCAGAATGAATGTGAAGCAAATTTAAAGTTTCCTGAGATAGGTAGCGCTTGTATAATTTGAAAGACGAAATAGAGAGGCATAACCTAGTTATATATCGATTGGGACAGTACTTTTGGTGATAGAGAATGACGCAGTAGGAATGTCAGCAGAGAGACTTCGGTTAAACAACAGACTTTATTAGAAAACTTGAAGCGCTAACATCTGTGGTGATGGAGCAGTTATTTTCCTGGGGTGAATCGGCAACATGGTATGCGGATCTAGCATTCCTTCACATATGTGCGATGGTTTGCCATCGGCAACAAAGGGGTTATGCTCATTTCTCCGACCATTTAAGAATTTGAGATTGCGTGCACGAAAAGTAACAAGGTTCGCATCGTGACAACTGCTTCCACGGCAATAGTAGTACTGTTTGAATGATGGCAAGTGCAAGAAATGCTGTCTTTTTGCTTAATCAACTGACGGTCTCAGGTAAAAGATTTTCGAGTATAGCGTAATCTCTGCATTCATGCTGTCTAACTCGAATGTTTGATCTCAAATTCATATGCAGCGAATTCCCACCAACAGGTGTCACGTACACAGAATGTCAGAATTCCAGAGGTCAGCTGCTGAGTGCGCATAAAGGCTTCGGTGTTTTCATAGGGTGGACGCGGTAGCATTGCTCTAATTAACCGCGCGATGGAATCACCCACAGATTGTCCGGTTTCTTAACGTTTTTGAAGGAAAACGAGCCTTGTACTACACACCTTCATTTTGCAACCCAATACATAATCGAGGAAACTGAAGTTGTCGCTAATGCATTGTGTCCCCGAATGTCGAAGCCACTAAACTGTAAATGTCTGTTGTTTCTGAGTACATAGCAAAGCAGCTTCAATCTGTTTCCCTCGCTAAGGGTGTGTATCGGCAATTGATTTCAAGTTGTGCTGAAAGAATGCTATCCTGCGGAACCAAACATCCTATATATGTCTGCTGCCACAGCTACCCAAAAAAGAAAATGGGGTCTGCGTTGACAGGATCATTAAGAAAGCGGCTGGTAAGAAATGATGTAGATCGATACGGAGCAAGTGTACTAAAGACAGCGAACACACCAGTTTTTAGAAAGTACCACATTACCAATGGGAAGGGAGTTAGACACATTCCAACTGGACACTGAAAAGTGGATACAGTGCACGAATTGCAGGCAAGGTGGTGGCGGTCACAACAGGAGTAAAGGCCTCATTCCTCCAAGGTATGTCCCTCTTCGAGCTTGTCGAGTAAAGCTAGGGTTCCTGTTAAACCAGCGTCCCCACTAGCGCTGTACGTCAGGCAATGTGTCAGTTACTTAAATCTCCCACAAACGCCTTAACTAACCAGCTTCAGTTGGATGAGAATAATTAAAATCTATGCCTAGTCCATCCTCGCAATTATCATGAAATTTCGGGAGGATGTTGGCAATAGGGTTGGTTGCATTGTGGTTACCGCGAAGCACGTCCAGAAATTTGGTCTCCGTATTTCCGACTAAATCAGAAACAAGTAAAGAATGCAAAATTAGCTTGATGCAGACAGTGTGCAAACGGTTGGGACAGTAAACGGGATCCACTCGACTTCAATAACTTGAGTTGAATTCATTTGCTGAACAGTAAGCATTCCTGCTACCAGCATCTGAAATTTTGCATCGGCCTCGTCTACTGAGTATACTTTCGGAAATTCAGCAAATAGACAAAGAACAACTTGGAAGACCAAGTATCCAAAATGAGCTTTGTTCATTGTGTCTCTGAAGATACTGGACATCCTCGTAAAACAACTCACGATCAAGAGCAGTGGTGCTACATTCTTAATATTGCCTCTTTGGAGTACATCACAGAGCAGATGATCTCGAGCCCAAAAACCCCACAAAGTCAAGAAAACATATTGCTTACAAAGAATGAAGGCGGTGCTGCAATGTTGACAGACCTCAGCGTAACGCGCTTCAAGGCAAACTACTTTCTGAACTACAACTTAGGTCGGAGCCCCTCAAGCAAAATGGGCATGCGTACTATAGTTTAAACACGTAGCAGCAGTGATTCGGATAGTGTAACTCATCCGATTGCCAAGACTGATGGGCAAACTGCTTAGAGTACACACCTTGATATTCAAGGGACAGCTTAAGGAATCGCCAGATCGACAACAGATATACAAGTCACGACTCCAACCTAAAAACACTTATTGACAAACGCTGCATCGGCTGGCTTAAAATTACACATAAAATGAGCTTCGGCAAATTAGTGAGAGCAGATAAGCTTTCCGGCATGCACGCCAATGCACTAAACTTCCACAAAAAGATGGCAAACTTCGGCTATGTCAGGCTTCAAGTGACTGGGACCTCATCTTTATACCGGAAAGGTGGTTGCGCCCAGAACGAATCTACGCATAAGTCACGAATCAGGTCCTTTATTCAAAACGGTCGCCGCAGTGAACGAGGTGGTGTACTTCTACACTCTGACTGCAACATGAAAAGTAAGACAGTGGATGACCAGAAGAGATTAGTTACAAAAGTCTTCTGGTGAAGTAAGTGACGAAGATCGATAAACCCACGGCTTGTGGTAGTCGTTTATCGTCCCCTAATGACCACGCTATCAATGGGCTCTTATCTGCTGCTTGTTTTAGGAAGGCTCAAAAAACAAACATACAGTAGTGTTCATATCTCCAGCCATTTTATTATTTATGATTTGGACCTTCCAGCACCACAGCCAGCAGATTAAGGTTGACGTGAAGCAGTCCCGCACTTCAGCCGTTATCAGTACTACTTAGTTCAGGACGGCAAATAAATCATCACTGTCTGATTTGTTGCTTAAAACGAACAGCTCATGGTCACTAAGTTAATGATTGTAAGTTCTCTAGGACTTAGTGATCACGTTACGATACTTTACAGCAGTCTGAGTTATGTAGATTGCTCACAGGAAAACGATGACCTAATTCGTACAATCGCTTATTACGACGGACAAACAGCCCTTACTGAAGAAGACACTTGGGACTACTTTAGTACCAGAATAAAGTTTGTATCGCCTTTAACAATCTGCTCACACCAGCGCCGTAAACCGGCCAATTCCCTCTACAAGATAACCCCCTTCAATCGAAGCAGGACTCGAAATAGCTTGGTAATAAGAGACGCAGCTTGGCGTGTGTACAAAGCAAGCCGTAGTTCTGGCATCTAGATCATATGGTAACTACAACGTAATCATTGAACAAACTTTGTGTGAAAAGATAAATTGAAACATCGACAGTGTCTAGCTAGAAGATTTAGTGTCAAGTAAAAGCTATTGCATCAACGTGGGAATAATCTCCCTAAAGTGAGAAACGACGTGCACACAAACATCCCAGCAGTCGGGCGGACTCAACGAGCCGAGGATAAAGCCAACGCTCTGCGGCTGCACTGCGCTCCAATGTTTAAACTTTTCACCTGCTGGTGCTAACCACTTACGCCACTCCCAACAGCCGAAGTTTGTCCACCTCACCTTTAGTTCAGTGACTGTATGAAGCAAGTTGCTGCAGCTGTGCACCAAAAGTCGTGCCGGAGTTGCTTATTGTCGTCCGAAGATACTGACAGTAGTGCATAGGTTTTAGCACAGTTCGATCAGCGACTCTATGATTCAGAGTTGTTTGAGTTTTATCTGTTTTCACGGATTAACCCGACACTATGCTGCTAGTCACACTGCATTTACAAAGATCATAGTTCATATCTACAGTATACCACAGAGAAGTAGTACACCTATGTACATCTATGTTTGATAATTTACAGCAGCGCGGTAACTGTAGTGCTGATTCAAATATCTGGTTTATCATTCCAATTAACCAGGTAATTCACTGAGGACTTCCTTACAGGTACGCCTTCTAAGTGGCGGATTGTGAAGTAAAATGATCCCTTTCAGTTTGAGATTTCGATTTGTTTGCGTGCATTACTTAGACAAGATAGTAAGTTACAAATCTTTAGGGAATTTTACACTTTTTAATTTATCGCAGCCTAACTGTTAACCTTTTTATTAACATTGCATTTTTAGAGAAAGTGAAAGAAATTCCGCTTAAAGTTGATGGGAGATTCGACTCAGAGAAAACAGAGGCCGAATCTGCTAAACAAATATCCTCCATAATGTTCATTGTTACTGTCGTTTTCCTTGTGTTTATTCTGTTGTTGGATTTGACCACTGCTCCCCGGGATGTCAAATTTCTGTCAAAAAATATCAAATTACAAAAGAAACGCTACAGATCCCTGAAGCAGCGCTCCATGACACATCAATAATTTGTGGGTAATTTATTGGCGCATATACGAACCCATTGCAAATCAAGCCTTCTACTTGAACCAACGTGACGCTCTAATTGGATACATTTGTTAGACAATCACACTAAACGGATATTTTTCACTCCCACAACAACCCCCTTATGATTTCCTCGCCATTGTTTTTATGTACCCCTGTGAATTTAACACCGCGTTAGTAGACAAGTCAATAGCATTTACTTTCACTCATAATTTTGATGGTATTTTGCTTCTACATTTTTCGTCTTCAGTGAGTTACTTTCAGGTTGCAATCTGTTTTCTAAACCCACGATTCAATAAAGTAACGTTTCGTGTTTATGACTTTTAACTCGAGGAATTTGATCTGGCGTTAGTATTTCGCCTCTGGATACACCTAAGTACGCAGAAAAAATTTGTTGCCGTGCACAGTTAAATGGAGCATAAATGTGTGCTTGGCATGTAAGTTGATACTCGCCATTTCATTACTTGTAAAATTATTCACTACGTCTATCATAAGCAAAGGGATTATGAATATCGACCCTCGCCAGTCGCGTACCCAGAGGTAAAATCAACGGTGGTGTTCTGGCTGGACCTGTGCTGAAATTCTAATACTGTAATTTACTCACCTGAATTTGATTATCTTCTGTCAGTATACATCTACTGAACAGTCGTGAACTGTTAAACCTCTAGACTGGCAACTGATTCTGGCAGAATATGAAGTTTGTCCAGTGTATAAGCACAGACAATGTGAGCAGGGTAGTAGGCATGCCGAATAGAAATAAACAGCCCCGGTTCGGTGAATGGGATGCACAAGTCCTCACTCTATGGCAATCAATATGCTGAGTGTCACCCGTTTACCAGATATTGAGGTTAGTGCAACACCGGTAGCCGGTGTCCCTGTGCCAAATTTCCAGTGTTTGTCGGAGCAGCCTGTAAAGTATCAAGCGCACAATATGTGATCTGTCCAAGGTGCAACAGCCACAGGGCTGTTGAGTATGAATTAGTTGCTTAGCTCCTAGTTGAAATCGGTCTGGCAGATGATGCCTGCAATATGCTTTTTGCAGATGATACCACTCCACAGAGGTACTTTTTCCTTGTAGGTGAACATCCCTGAAAGCATGTGATCCGGCGCTTCTTCTTCAGGGATACAAGCGACGGTATACTTGGTAAAGTTACAACAGTGGTTGTGAACCACCGTCATCTTTATAAGCGCCCGAACTAAAAGTTAATTCGTGGTAAACACGCTAGGATCATTACATGGTATCGCAGCCCTCATCTGCGTGCATGATAATTTTATGCATTTAACTGGTCAAATAAATGTTCCAGCATTATAGTTAAATTCATTTTGTTGACGAGAGGTTCTCATCATTTGCCGCAAAAGCAGAGTACAAAGTAGGCTGTACGATTTGATCCTGGTAATACCTCCAGTAGGCAGCACCTTATTCATAAAACTGTTTTGATGAATGTTTTTCAGATAACTGGAGTAATTACCGACGGCTGTACCGTAATCAGTATACCATTAAATGTATATTCATTTCAGCGAATACTAATAAGTAAGATAGCTGAATTTGTTTGTATGTGAGTAAACTTTCGTAATTTTCATCATGGTTAATTTCATCCCCACTGAGTAAAATCGATATTCTTGACAGTACTAAGGTAGTATTCGACGATTCATGAACATCATGCTGACTGCGTCCAAGTATTAGCCAGACTCGACCGCACTGGGAGCCAAGAGCTGTGTCGCTGTCTTGCTGGATATTTACAGCCGCGTTTTAGTGCAGATTAGAGAGTGGACATCGTTATTTTTTCATATGTGCGTGCTTTCTCCTTTGAAGAATGGCAGCAGTTAATTTATTGAGTGCACATTCCTGTCTTTGCATGCGTTTTAGAATGGGTTGTTGTACGTAGATCATCAAAAGTCCAGAGATATCTATACAAGCTACTTCACGCATAGTGCTAATAAGCTAGCGTGTTAAAAATCAAAATAATATGTTGTTTAATCAAGTTCATGCGCGCATGCATTCCTCTCACCCTGACGCGCTACATGTACGCAGTATTAGTGACATTCACATCGACCAATGGGACTCCCTGGATGTAAGCACATGGCTAAATATATGCGTCTACGACAGAAAGGTACGCACGTTCCGACCGACCTAGCAGGAAATTTCAAGCAGGCATGGGTGTATTGTCAGCCTCTCCCCGATTGTTGGTCATAATCTATTCACATAGGGAGTACATCGAATGCATAGTGGGTTTTGCTTCACAGATATTGCAGACAGCCATAGTAATTTAGTTGCAATCTCAGTGTAATCATAGTGTTAGTGTCAAGGGTCATGTAGGTGGAGAAGAAAGAGCTAAATGTGCCTGGATGTCGTCAACCAGTTCAGTGGTCTATGTGAAGCGTTTGTTAGTTATTCAACGTAAAAATCTGATCAGCTCTTTCGCTTTACATGTCATTCACAGCGTGGCTTGATCTTCCTGTATTCTCCGCATTAATTGTAAATGCTTGATTTCAGAGATGAGTCAGTGCATCTAGGGAATCATTGTAAAATATCCTACCATATTTTAGCGCGCGATCGGTTTGCTGGATTTCTGACTCATCAAACTTTCGGCTGCATCTTTATAAACGTCGCTGATTCGTTTTACTTGTGCAATAACAAGAGTTATAGCCTGCTAGAACTTATGATAGAAGTACTCCACTGCTGTGCATACATTGTTGGGGAGAAAGAGGGCATCCCAATCGCAGCGCTGGATTATTTGACGGAATGATTTCCAGTTAATACTGCGGCTGGTATAGTAGGAAGGGGGTACTTGTTTGGTGAACATTTTAATATTGAAGTTTCGGAGTATCATGTTGCGGTCGCTACCAGGGATGTTCTTTGAAACGACTATCTGTACGTTGGCCGTAATCAATGCAAATCTCACATCTAATGTGTTTGTCAAGCTAGTTGTTATAGTAACGCATTGTATGCAACCAACTCCGACGGATTAAATGAAGGATCTGTGTATGGACAAGAAGGTCTGGGAAGGCCAGTGTATCTTCGGTATCTTGAAAGCACATACACTTATTCTTAGTTTGTGTGTAAATTATGATGCAAAATCGGAAGCTGAGGTGGTACGGATAACATTCATGGTTGCTGAATTTGGCGGGTTGCGGACAGATGCAAGTAAACCGAGGCTCCTGAGACGGAGAACCAGAGAATCAGGGACATTTGCCAGTGGTGGTTGTTCGACCCGTTCAGCTGTACATATGCGATTGAGTTACATGAGGCATTCTCCACCTTATCTTTCACATCGATCTTTAGGAAAGAGGTGTTAAAAGGGGTAATTGGATTACAGTCTAATATATCAGCGGGATACGAGGTTACGGTAACGAGGAGGGTTTGCAGCTCGTTTAAATGTGCAAGCATGCTTAGGAAATACCGTTTGTTGCTAATCTATCGGACGTCAATCAAAGTACTGAAAACCTATCATGTATAGTGGAGTCAGCGTTTGCATCATTGTTGTGTGAGTCATCGTAATCGCGGATCATTTCAGCGATAAATATGTGCGGGGACATTGGGAAGGAGTCCACTGCAAATAACCTTGCAGGTAAGGGTAGTATGCTGTCCACGATCGTCGGTATACCTTGTGAAATGGAGAGGGTCGATGTACCAATGATAGATTGCGGTTGAATTGGCGTTGAGCTTATTCAGTCCTGTGAAGAAATTGTATAACTAACGGGAGAATATATTTGGCATCTGCCGCGTATGTAGGGAATTCGAATTCGCGCGGTATGATATATATATATATATATATATATATATATATTTACATACATATATATTTTTTTCCACATTTCACTGAAGTATGGCATACGGATAGCACCGTAGACGACGTACCAGCGGGATGTGCGATATCTCGAGCGGTTCCATCAACAGTGTTTGCGACGGATTCTGCGCATCAGTTAATGCGACAGCTTTGCGGACACGTCGAAGTGGAATGTATGCGGTGGACTGCATACTTTTACGGAGGCAACTGAGCTGGCTCGCTCATGTGAGCCGTATGGATTCAACGCGGATCCTGAAAGAGCCATTATATGGTCAGCTGCGTATTGGGAAGCGACATGCATGGAAACCAAAGTTACGTTACCAGGACCTGATCCAAGTGAGCCTCTCACGTTCTAATCTTGATTGCGGTTCATGGGAATCGAAGGCGGTTGATCGGCGTGCATGGCGGGCTGATAACGAAGGCCGTTCCCGAAGTGCTGGAGATAGACCTGATGCATGCAGATAAGAAGCGGCAAGTGCGGAAGTGCCAAGCACCGATGGGTTGTACTCCATCGACATCGAGCGCATGGTGCTGTAGCACATGCGGTCTCGAGTGCCTGAGTCAGACAGGCCTAGTGAGCCATGAGCGAGGCCACTCGGGACCACTACCGAAGGGACGATGGGTCCTGCAGAGAAAGTAGACAGAACCGGTGCAGCTTTTGTAGGTACGCTGCATTCGATTTACTAACCGCGTGTTTGCATGCTAAATCTATTTATTTCAGTTGGTGGGTTTTCAATTGTATCCTAATGCTTTTCTTTCCAATATAAATGCCTACCTATATTCTCTTCTATAAACCTGCCCACGTCCCTTAAGCCAGTTGTAGTTAATTTCGATAACATTTTCGTGTTTGTGGTATTTCCGTAAAATATACTTTCTGACCTCCTGAACTTATCTCAGATTCGTTTGTAAACGACTTATTTCATTCGCACATTAATGTAAGATATGTCGCCGTTTTCTTATGCATTACTCGATTTATTTTCTTTGTTATTTTTCTCTCAAGTGATTACCGGTTGTTTGATATCCCCAGGGATATCAAACAACAGCCATACACTTGAAAGAGAGAAAGAAATAGAGAAAAACTCGATTAATGTATAAGGAAACGGTGATATAAACCTTAATTAAATAGCATATGTAATAAGTTGATTCCAAACAAATCCTAGCTAAGTGCACGAGGTCAGGAAGTATAGTTCACGGAATGCCACGAACGCAAAATTATTATGGAAATCGAATACAATTGGCTTAGGCGATGTGTGCAAGTTAATGAAATAGAGTAAAGGGAGATATTTATATGAGAAAGCAAAGCATTAAGGTAAAAACTGTAAACCCACCACCTGAAATAAAGAGACTTAGCATGCAAGCACGCGGTCAGTAAATCGAATTCAGCGTGCCTACAAACAGACGCATGTCTTAGTTTGGTCTACTGACCTCCAGCATACTCACTTTAAACGGCAGCCCGCGTTGTGATTGCGCTTGCTTTTGACATCCCTCGTATTACTTTGTGATCGCGTCATCAAGCGGATGATC